TGTATAAGCCAATAATGTTAAAAGAGCCTCAACACTCATTTTTCTCAGAAAATCTTTCTGCGCATTCTTTTAGATCGCAATAAAAAATGCAAATTAGAATATACAGTTAAAAACAATAAGATTAAAAAACTATATGAAGAAAAATGTATAGGTGAAAAATTGTTGCAAACTTTTTCAAAAAAAATCCAAATGGACTTGATACAACTCTTTCTGATATATTTTTATTAAAAGTAAATGATGCTATTCAACGGATTGTAGAAAATGCTGCAATTCGCGTTATAAAGCAAAAGCTAGTTAACTCCGAGTCAAACATATCCGTGGGTGGATAGCTCAGTTAGATAGAGCATCAAACGAAAAATTAAAATTTGGACTACTGAACGATACGAGTTCAAATCCTGCTACCGCCAACTCAGTGCTTGAGTAGTACTTCAATACGCAAAAATGTTGGTCAAAAACAGACGCTTTTTTGGATTAGTCTTAATGACTATTTGTGGCTGTTCATATGCTAAGCTAACAATATCTTCGGATATAAGAACATTGAATAGAAAAATATATAGCATGAAAATTCAAATAAAACCCTTTTTGCTTTTATTTCTAAGGGACTAAAGGTAAACACATTTTAAATGCTAAATATTTTTTTTTGCTTATGTTGTTGTAGTTATTAAAATATAAATTGATTTCAAATCTTTCTAGCCTTTGCAATTTACTTTCAGCTCAATGGCATATAAAGACGACTGAAATGTTAGTAACATGACAATTAAGAAAAGACATTTAGCTATTAACTCTTTAAATGTAGTGCCTGATATGACAAGTACCTCACAACTTCAATAAACCTCTTCTATTTTAAATTCATTGGAAGAAAAAGACCAAACTAAAATATTGAAAATGTCTAACATTCTTTTGTCAGTAATAAGTGCAGAGGAATAGGTTAGTATAAAAGCTCATATGAGGATAACCTAATCAGACATGAAGATACTTGCAAGGTAAAATATATTAAAATGGACCAAATGAAACTAAAATGAAATTGAAGAAAAGTTTTTGAATTCAAAATGTTTAAATAATGTACATCAAACAAAAGCAACGAAAAGTAGTTAAATCTTGGTCTGGAGAAGATTGGGTAGTTTGTAATGCACCATTATCTTTTCTTTAAAGGATTCTATTGATTCAT